GCTTCATAACTTATTTTATTTTTTCTTATTTTCTCAAATATTGTACCTCTTAATTTCTTCTTTTATATTTTATAATAGGTCAAATACTTAGACTGTTCTAGTTCACTCTAGTTTTTTCTGTATGCTTTATTATCATAAGTTCGTCTAGTTTTTTTGTTAAAAACTTATATCTACTTATTCTTTGCAAATACTTATTTATTCTCTTCCAGCACCTTCTATTTATCCTTCCTAATACTTTCAATTGTTTCTTAATATTTCTAACGAACAACTTCTGGCTGTCCGTTTTACTTTCATTTGTCCAATTTTTCTTTACGCCTATTAATTTTTGTATAATATTAGCGTTTCACAGTAAGATACACAATTTGACATATCCTTCACATTTCCTTATTTTGTATTTTATCGTCTTCCAACAACTGTGGCTCAGTGGCAATTTGTAGGCTTATAATGGTAAAAATTGAGTTTTCATACCCACGGCGGACATAACAAACCAATAAACATTTCATTGATATTCCATGTAACCTATATGTATTTTCTTTTTCATTTCTAGCCTATGCATTATCAAGGAACTGAATTTTCTGTTTATTTCATTAATGCCTCTTCTCTTTTTTTGCACTAGTATAGTGAAATTCGAATTTTATTATTTTGAACAAACTGTTATTCATTTATATAACTGGTTAAATAAAGAAGACTTTCATAAATAAAGAACAATTTGGTAAAAAAGGAAGGATTCGAGTTTCCTTAAATATATATATACTTAATAAGTAATGTTGGAGTTAATAAACACCCTTGTTTAACTCCCTCTCGTGTCCAATATTTTCCTTTAAAATATCTTATTGTATCTTTATTCTCATTATTTCGTCTAAAAGTTTTCTGTAACACCGTTCTGTTTGAATATAAATCTTGTGTATAATCTTCAAAACTTGTTGTACAGTGCCAATCAAGTTAAAATTTCAGGATATAACTGTCATATAATGGAAATACAGGATGTATTAAAAGGAAGCAGATTTAAAAAATGACGGACAAAGTAAGTCAAAATTCTAAAAATAAATACAACTTTACATCTCAGTGTTTCAAATAATATTGTATATAATGGTAACTTTTAGTCATAAAATTTAAGGTATTTGCTTTTTGTCCTTGACAACCTTCATTAATTTCAAGAACTGACATCTTTTGTTATTAAAAATTTGCACTCAGTTTTTACCCTCATAATGCTTGTAGATTCAGGAATAGTTTGGAAAATCTGTTAGTGTTAAAAATATACTGTTATAATTGTGATATTGCAAAGAAACTATTCTTACGATCTTTTCTAATTAATGGTTTTATTTCTTCTCAATAGAACGAGCTTACAGTATGGCATTAATTGTTTAAAGAGTAAGTTATGACAAACAAGTTTTAGCTGAAAGGAGAAGAAACAGTGAACATGAGATCAAAGGTAAGAAATAATTATATTTATATTTTAGTTTGCCTTGAAAACAGTAGTTGTGCTTTAAATGCACATTTTAATTGCACTAAACCATTTTCTTTTAACCATCTAAACTTCTTACTAGTTACAAAACAAATTTGAAGTTTGTTCTTACTCTTGCAATAAAAATCAACATTCTGATGATAAAAAAAAGGAATACAGCTTTTGAGTGGATTGATTATTTAAAGTGTTTTGTGAATTTCCTTTCTTCAGGACAAAAAAAAAGGAATGAATTTTTCTATACTAGAAAATGTTTTGCTTGTTATAGGTTTTGAAAAAGGACAAATTTAGCTTACGTTCTATAGAGATGGTAGAATATCAGTAGTTCTTAGCCTGTATTTGATTAGACTAAGAATTAACACTGATTTATTCAGTGTCAATTATGTTTGTAAACATTCTTCGCATTTATGAAATGATAATAAGAGCTTTATTGATCAATTCCGTTAAATCTGTTAACTGAAACAACAATCTAATTTCAGTGTTGGTTAATGCCTTATAATGCATGCATAAAACGTTCGTACACATTAGGAATACTACATAAGGTCGTTGTATCATTGACCTAATTTTATTTTGAAAGTGGAAACTGTACATGATGTATTATTTCTTAATCTATAAAATAAGTTTAAACATCCAATATATCTGCAAATTGTACATAGATGCATTATTTTATACAAAATTCAAGTGATCATTGTGATTTTAATTTGAGGCATATGGATTTGGAAATTCTTGAGTCAAACCATAAGGGAGAACGGTTTTTGGAACGTGCTCCAGATAGCTTTCCTCACCAATTAGTCAACAAACCTCTTAGAAATAATGCTATT